TGCACTTTCCTTGGCAACTTTTCCCTTGCCCCAAGGTGAAGTAACAGACGCCCTCATAGGCTCCATGGACGCTCTGGCACCCCCTGCAGGCCCAACAGAAACTTCCTCCCTGTTGCCAGAGGTGGTTGCCAACATTTTAAAACAAGACTCTGGACTTGCAGTTGTAGACATTTGCGCAGTATCAGCGGTATTCCAGAGTCTGGGACAGTAAAAGATCCCATGCCCCCACTGACCACATTCCACACAGGAATATTTCTACACTTCTCTTTATTGGGATACTGAGCCACATCTCCAATGCAGCTCCTCCTTCCAGGCACTACTTTTTCTCCGGTCGCCATGGGAGATTGCACTCTCCAAGCAGAACTTTGCCGGCTCTTTCCAACACGCTGTATTGGCTCCTCTTGATGCCACTTGCCATAATCCTTGTATGACATAGACCCCTGTACACAGACAGCCCGACTGGCCTCCTCTGTGTTGCTATGGGATTTCACTCTTGGTCCTGGCCTCTGGTCAGCCCCTCTCCTTGCACATAGCATAGGCTTCTCTCTGCTGGACCAACTCTCAAGCTGTGACATATTCACATTTTTCACAACAGCTACTGGTTTAACTGCAGCAGCGTTGCCATGGGCGACAACACCCCTCTCCCAGGTACGGACATCCTGAAGCTCTCTCCTTGCACTGAAGGTTGGCTTGGTTTCCTCTTTAGGTTGGTTCAATGCTGCCAGGTGCCGCTTGCACCAGTCCACAGCAGACTCACCCACATCTAAATTTCCCGGCTTGGCTGGGGCATGCGGTATATAACCCCCTAGCCACAGGGCTCTATCTCTCGCTTCAGCAAACATTGCCTCCTTTTTCTGTTTTGACAGCCCCATGTTTGCAGTCATGCACACAGCAGTGTGTTACACAGTTCAGCAACACCATGGAACACTGTCTCTTTAAGGCAAAGTCCTTTTCTTTAGCAGGTTCTCCTCACCTGCACACACAGATAGTGCAGACTTATGCACCAATCAGTTCATATAACTGATGAACTTACTTCAATCGCCGGGATCTCCAATTCTGTCCGCATCCTCCACCATATGTGGGAACTCGCTTCAAAGTGGTAGAGCTTTTAAACGTACACAGCTACTCGCTTTCTTTTTCAGGGCCTTTTTAGCCCACTTTTATTTAAATGAAAGTTCAAAACAGACGTTTCCCACACAGGGGTATCGATCATCCACATAAACAAAATTCAGCCTCCTGGCTCTCTCAGATATACAATCTTCCACTGGCCTTCCTCTTCAGGCTTACGTCTGACTCCTGCAGACCCTTTCAAAAACCATGGCTCTTGCACACAGCTGGCCACTAGCACATAGCTACTACCAAGCAGCTCCTTGCTGCTTTTGGCTTCCACCTCTCCTTGGTGGAGCCCTCCTGACTCCTATCTGCCGGGGTGGAGCCCAGAACCCTGGTCCTGACTCTATGAAAAGGGCTGTACACACCTGTGCAATCAGTCTCCTGGCCATTCCCAAAACCTGGTCCCAGGATTGGAGATTTCATCCCTTCCAAATCGCTTCGAAATCTCCAGGCTCCAGCTCCCAAAATGGACCTTACAAACAAAGGAGGGAAGTGAAAAGCCACTTTCCTCCATATCAAACCTTTACCCTGGAGCCCCTCAACCTGCCTTGTTGAGAATCCAGGGTGACAGATCGCCACACTGTCACAATATATATATATATATATATATATATATATATTGTATTGAGATATATATATATATATATATATATATATATATATATATATAATTAGCAGTAATCACATAGTTTACACATTTTTTTATTTGGTCCAGATTTGGTATTTATTTTATTTTATATTTTTTTTACATGCATTTTTTATACATGCATCTTTTACCACTTTTTTTTATTATATACAATAGCCATCTGAACATGTAACTATTATAATGATGTATTACCCTTTGTGTTTTTTATGTATAACATGGATATGTTCTTTGCCCCCTATTTTTGTATTGTACTGCCCCTTTAAGGCTCCACTGCGCCTTGCTGTCCCACGATGTATGCAAGTACTATTTAAGGGTCTCCTCCCCTTGCCATACTAGCTAGATGGTCCGAGCCTGCTGTTTAAGCTGCTGTTCTCTGTGTATCTGGACCTCTGACCCTCAGAGACCTCCGGTGACATAATTTCCGCCGTGCTTTCCACGCTGGTTGTGCGGCCATTTCCTGCTTCTCCCAGGGATGGACGCTGTCCATCGGCTCCGCCATCCTCCCACACATTCCAGGAAGACTGCACACTGCACCCAAGGTTTTTTACCATCCTGCTGTTAACCCCTAACACACTGGCGATATCCTACAGGACGATTTCACCATACAACATAAGAAGGACAGCACCCATGGCAATGCTGATGGGTTATCGAGAAAGGTCAAGCCGGCAGAAGTCGGTTGCGTCAGGAGGGAAATTGCAGTTCCCTCCCATGCAACCACCTGAGGGGGGAGGTGTAGCAATCGTACCCACAGAGATGGACAAAGTTCAACCATTTTGTTCCAAACCTCAATCTTGGCAAAGGATCGTCCATCTTGTACAATTATATCTTTCCTCATCCCCCTCCCTCGCTGTGGCCTGAGTGATGACAGAGATCACAGGCAGCCAAAGCACAGCAAGGAGCTCCGAGCTATAAAACCCCCAAGGGAGCTGGGGCCTAGCTGTCTAAGAAACCGTGCAATCTGGCATATCGTAAAAGCTTAAACCAAGCCCTTCACTGAGTTCAAAGACATTCCAGAGAAGTATGGGCGGCACAGTGGCTTAGTGGTTAGCACTTCCGCCTGGTAGTACTAAAGTCGTTGGTTCGAATCCCAACCATGGCACCACCTGCCAGGAGTTTGCATGTTCTCCCTGTGCCTGCGTGGGTTTCCTCCGGGTACTCCGGTTTCCTCTCTCACTCCAAAGACATGCAGGTAGGTTAATTGGATAAATTGTCCACAGTATGTGTATGTATGAATGTGAGGGTTAGGGACTGATGTGAATGTACAATATATATATATATATATGTAAAGCACTGCGTAAATTGACGGCGCTATATAAGTACCTGAAATAAATAAATAAAATAAATAAACTAGACACCAAATTCAAAATCCATTTTCCCCCTATGATTTCATATCTTGGAATATGAGAGACTTACATAAAAACCAGGCACATCGTCAGATTGGTTAAGCTAATACAAAACCGTTTGATATATTCCCTAGTTGGAATATATAGGAAGGCAAGAAAGTATATCTCCTGAACCATTCAAGTCTGTATGACATGTGTCATCTCTAACCGTTCCGCAGATGCTGCTGAGTATTAATATACTAGTGGCCAGGCTGCTAAATGCCCTGAGAAAAAGTTATGGGCCAAAATAGAAGCTATGAGAGTTTCTGATCGTAACTTAAGTCTCCACCTACACTTCCCTCCCCAAAAGGAGATGATTGGTTTTACTGCTCCAGGGATGCACCCGGTGGAGATACTAGAAAAGCTGAGCTGAGTTAGTGTGAGAGAAAGAAGATCTCCCTGCATTAACATCGAAACTAGCAGTGGGAGATCAAAGCATCCTTTTGGTCATGAAACTTGAAGCTGCTTAAAACCAAGGCTGACTGGCAAGTACGTTATCTCTTTGCTGTGCTGTTGTTCTCTGTATATTTATATATATATATTGGTTACATATTTTTTCTGTAAATATTTTTATCGCACCCTTTTGACCTTTTAGTAATAAATCTTACTTTCTGAAAGTGTTGAACTGTTTCTAATGCTCTTTAATGCAAACACAAATTCATTCCCCTGAAGAACGCTACTGTGTGTGTTTAACCCTTATTTCAACCATCATAGTGTTATTGCGGATATTGCCAAGTTTCCTCTTTCTCTGTACAAAAAGGAGGTGGTGGCAGTGTGAAGGGTTAATTGCGTAATTAACCTGACCCAGTAACAATCACTCCCAGGTGGCCGGTACATCGATTGTGGACCATTAGCTGGAAAATCTAGATTGGACTAGATTGGCTAGTCCTTCGGTCACGAGTTTGATGTGAAGGGCTGGGATCTGACGTCGCGATCGTCACATACTGCACTTAGCTTGGCGCCTCTTGTTCCTCTCCTCTCTCCTATTCATAGCTTCTCAACCTACTTTGCACCTACCAGTGATTGTGGGCTTTCATAAGCATTTGTCTTACATATTTTGATTTCACTGTATTACGGTGCTACTGTGAAGCACACACTTTGCACTTTTATTGAAAAGAATAGAACAGACTAGAAGAGAATAGGATATCAAAATTAATAGAATGCGACACATTTTTGTCTATCACACAAATACTTGTTTGATGGTAACCATTACCTACAGATACAAGGCACTGTGATGGGAGCCAGTTTTGCACCAAGTTATGCCAATCTCTCTATGGACCCCTGGGAATATCAGTCTATCTGGAACAATAACCCTTATGCCAAAAATGTAATACACTGGTCGTTACATAGATGACATTGTCATCATCTGGGATGGTACAAGAACAGAAGTTGACTCCTTCATAATTGTAACTTCCAATTCCTTAGGCCTATCCTGTACATCAGTGTGCGTCCCCGACACCTTAGCCTATTTAGATCTAGAACTTTGTCATACTGACACTTCCATATATGCCAAAAACTACACCAAGCCCACGGTGGGCAATTCTTTTCTACATTTCTGAAGCTGCCACCATCCTAGATGGATATCCAACATCCCCAAACGCCAATTTTGTAGGCTCAGGCACAACTGCACACGTAATGAGGACTACGCCTCACAAGGTGAACTGTTTACACAAAAAAGTTTTGGGAAAAAGGCAATATCACATCGTTCGTACAAGATGCCTTTTCCTTTTTTCTTTCCAATACTAATCAACCCAGCTCCCAACCATTACTATTCACTACACAATTCCACACCAACCACCGTAAAATGGAACAGATTTTATGTAAATACCACTGCCCGTCCACCGGGATTTATATATCCGTAATTTTGCATTTCCGGGTATGGGACGCGCTTGTGGAGCGTGTGCTCTACCCGCGTCGCCATTCGCAGCCGCGGTTGTCGATCACCGGGTCCCAGCCAGTGATTACTCGCCAGCGCCTGGTGATTGCCGAGCATCTCTGAAGGGGGGGAGAAGTGTTTGTAAACAAAACCGTTCTCTCCCCTGTCAGATCCTGCACACTGCTTTGCATGGCTATGCATAGCAGAGTCATGCAAAGCAGTGTGCTTACAGTGAAACACAGACACACACAGCCCCACAGTAAAACACACACAGCACACAGTTAACCCTTTGAACACTCCACATGTTAACCCCTTCCTGCCCAGTGCCATTTGTACAGTGTCAGTACTTTTTTATTAGCACTGATCACTGTATTGGTGTCACTGGGATGTCAGTGACACCAAGTCAGTTCCCCCCAGTGTCTGAATGCCCGCCACAGTCTCACAGTCCTGCTATAAGTCGCTGATTACCACCATTACTAGTAAAAATTAAACAAAATCCCAGTATATATACAGCTATTTGTAAACGCTATAAATTTCATGTAAACCAATTTACGCGTATTGGGATTTTTTTTTAGCAAAACCATGTAGCAGAATACATTTTGGCCTAAATTTATGAGGAAATTTCATTTTTAAATTTTTTACTGGATATGTCTAATAGCAAAAAGTAAAAAATTAGTTTTTTTTCTCAAAATTTTTTTTTTATAGTGCAAAAAATATGCCACCAAAAGAAAGCTTTATTCATGGGAAAAAAGGACATACATGTAATTTGGGTGCAGCATTGCATGACCGCGCAATTGACAGTTAAAGTAACACAGCGCCAAAAAGTGGCCTGTCCAGGAACGGGGGTAAATCCTCTGGAGGGCAAGTGGTTAGTGGGGGATCCCCAATTGAAGTCATCCATACCTAACATACCTAAGTTTTCATATAGAAGGGCCTACAACATGAAAAGCAAAATAGCCCCTAGCAAAATTAAAAACTCTAAAAACATCCACAAACCCCACGCCTACCTTCTCCTCCATTATAGGCATGTACCAGTACAAAAAACCCAAATGCCTAACAATCAAACATGTCCTACATGGACAAAAACAATTCTCCACCATAGGTAAAACCTATAATATAGAAGAGTTTTACAACTGCTCTTCAGAGTTTGTGATCTATTGCCTATCCTGTCCTTGTGGACTCCTCTATGTCGGTCGCAACATTGTGCCAAAGATTTGGAGAACACAGGTGTTCAGTGAAAGATGGAAAAGACAAACTGAGTGTTCCTAAACACTTTTCCAAATTCCATTCCCAGCCTTCTGCCAGCCTGAGAGTGTGGGTCATTGAAACCATTCCTAAGGGTCTCCCCCAAGCAGAGCACTTTAAGCATCTTTGCCAAAGAGAGACCTTTGGATGTACACGCTAGATACTTTGACCCCTGGTGGCCTGAATGAGGAACTGGAACTGCCCACTGTATTATATTTGTTACTATACTCCTCTCCCTACCTTTTCCTCCAGTTTAGTCATGCCCTTCCTTCCTGAGCGGTCTGACATTTTCAAAATGACCCCCCCATTAATAATTATATTACCTTATTCTGTTACAGTATAACCTTCTCCCCCACAATTATGCATTTTGCATTTTCTATAACATCCTAGTGAGCGAATGCTACTTTCTGAAAATTTAACATACACACACCAGCTTCATTATATAATCCCATCTATAATCCCTTAGATGCTATTAGATTTATTTGATCATATCCCTTACATTCCTATTTTTTCCATTCTAGTTATTTAGTGATCAACATTGCTATCTGATTTTCATGTTTTTTATTTTCATTTTAATTTCCACAGGACCCTTATGGTCTGTTATGTTTACAGCCCCACTCTCTTGTTAACCACTTGCCCTCCAGAGGATTTACCCCCTTTCATGACCAGGCCATTTTGTGCTGTGGTGCTGCGCTATTTCAACTGGTAATTATGCGGTCCTGCAATGCTGTATCAAAACAAAATTGATGTCCTTTTTTCACACACAAATAGAGCTTTCTTTTAGTGGTATTTGATCACCTCTGTGGTTTTTACTTTTTGTGCTATAAACAAAAAGTTTAAAAAAAAAAAAAAAAATTTTTTTTTTTTCACTTTTGGTTATAAAAAAATATCCAATAAACTCAAAGTTAGTCATAAAATTTAGGCCAAAATGTATTCTGCTACATGATTTTGTTAAAAAAAAAAATCTCAGTACATGTATATTAATTGGTTTGTGTGAAAGTGTTATAGTTTTCTACAAACTATGGTATACATATTGGAATTTACGTAGCTTTTACTTTCTGACTGCCTATCACATTTCTTGAGGTGCCAAAATACCAGGGAAGTACAACCCCCTTCCCAAATGACCCCTTTTTGGAAAGTAGACACCCCAAGGTTTTTTAAGAGAGGCATGTTGAGTTCATGGAACATTTTATTTTTTGACACAAATTTTTTTTTAAATGACAAGGTTTTAATTTCAGTTTTTTTCACAAAGTTGTCACTTTAATTATATATTGCTCATGCATGCCATGGGTATATGTGAAATTACACCCCAAAACACATTCTTCTACTTCTCTCGAGTATGTTGATACCACATGAGAGACTTTTTGGCCTCCCAGCTGCATACAGGCCCACAAAAATCGAATGACCACCTCCAGGCCCTAAAATGCCAGGATAGTACAAACACCCCCCCCCCCCCCAAATGATCCCTTTTTGGAAAGTAGACACCCCAAGGAATTTGATAAGAGGCATGTTGAGTATTTTACAGATATCATTTTTGTCACAGGGTTTTGAAAAACAAAAAAAGAAAAGAAAAAATACATTTTTGTTTTCTTTCTTTGGTTTCCAACAACATGTGGCAACAAATGAGATCCGCAAAATACTCACCGAGCCTCTTAGCACATGTGGTATCAACCTTGGAGTGTCTACTTTCCAAAAAGGGGTCGTTTCGAGAGGTTGCTTCTACTATCCTGGCATTTCAGGGCCAACATTAGAAGCGTATGCCACACATCACCCACTCTTGAAGACCAAGCCTTTTTATGACACTTTTTGTTCACATGAAAAAAAAGTTTTTTTTGCTAGAAAACTACTTTGAACCCCCAAAGATTACATATTTTTTTAAAGCAGAGGCCCTAGACAATAAAACGGTGGGTGTTGAAATTTTTGTAAGTCACACAGTATTTGCGCAGCGATTTTTCAAATGCAAATCTTTTGGGAAAAATACACTTTTTAGAATTTCAATGCACAAAAACACAAGATAATGCTCAATTGTTTGATGTAATATAAAAGATAATGTTACGCGGGGTAAATAGATACCAAACATGACATGCTTTAAAAAATTGTGCATGCCCGTGCAATGGCAACAATATACATTTAATTTTTATTATCAATAGGCGATGCTGTAAAAGCCTTTACAGGTCACCAATTTATATTTACACAGGAGGTCTAGTACTAGAATCACGGCCCTCGATCTGATGTTCATGGCGATACCTCACATGCATGGTTCAACTGCTGTTTACATACGGCACGGAGTCAACACTTGCGCAAGAGCAGGGGGGCAAGGGTGCTTTTTTTTTTTCTCCTATTTAGTTATTTTTGGGTTTTTTTTATTATTTTTACACTGTCTTTCTTTTCTTTTAATCACTTTTATTGCTATCACAAGGAATGTAAATATCTCCTCTGACTGCAATAGTCATTGACAGGTATTCTTGAGAAATCTGGGTTCTATTAGACTCTAGATATCTCCTCTGCACTTACATCATCTGATCTCAGCAAGATCGTTGTGATCAGATGCTTTCCCAATTTACAAATGGCACCGTTTATATCCTGTGAAACTGAAGTGATGAAATACTTGTAGCTTCCAAATTTCTTAGACTATAGAGCTGATTGCAGCCATGATATGGTCAGCCAGTGGATCTGCCAGCTGCATTCTTGGATTCCCCTGTGGGACAGTAGAGCCCAAGAAAACTGTGCAAGGTGACAAGAGGGGGGATGCCCCTTCTTGCTGCTCGTAAAAACAATTCAGCAATTGGCCACTAGGATTGCTTTTATATGAAAGTGGACTGCCAGCTGAAAAAAACAATACCAGGATGATGCCTGTAGCTGCAGGCATCATCCCGGAATAACCACTGAAATTCCAGCCACATTACCAGTACATTGCTGGTCTATGTTGGGCACATATGTAACAGCAGAGAACCCAGGCATATGATGAATCGGGTCTGTTGGACCAATATGACCTCAATTCATTCTTTTCTGTAATACCCATGTTGAGGGTTAGGCCCAAAAAAGTTTTAAAATTCCGAAACTGTGATAGGTTTGCATGCAAATTGTCTGCCAAGAGCTGAATTTGGGTGGGCAGTGATGTATTGTTTTGCGTATAAATTGCCTTGGCCCACAATGAATTGATACAAATCTTCCATGAAAAACAGCAGAGGGGCTAAATGCTGGCAGCGAACTGGGCCGATCCTGGTAACTCTGCATTGTTGGGGACACTATACAAAGTAGGCACTAGTATAGTTGGGTTCATGATCATTATATTGATCTGTACAAACACTATACTAGTAATGGTGGTGATCAGTGACCTATAGTGTGTGGGCAATCTAAGTCTAGCTGACCCTGATTGGGAGGGGCGCTTACTGACCCTGACGTTATCTGATGTCGCTAGTGGCAGGAATACAGTGATCTGTGAAAAATTTATATACTGACACTGTACTAATGGCACTGGCTGGGTGACTGAGTGATCAAAGCATTAAATGTGCTAATCTAACCTTGGTTGGGGGGGGGCAGCTGGGGGCACAGGCGCGTTCACACCCCAAAAACAAGAAGCGACGCAACATTATGCCGCTTTGCCAAGAGCTGAATGCAAAATGCGGGTAAGCGGTTGGCAAATTTTCAATACGGTATTTTTTTTTTTTTATCAGAATAGTACAATGTTACCATAGTAACATTGTACTACTATGGGGGGGGGGGGTGATCAGGGATTTTTTTTTTTTTGTTACACTTTGCTTTGCAGGAGAAATAAAGATAATTTATCCTACAATGCAAAGCTTGCTGTCCTGAACCTAACTCATTCATGAACGGTCATGAATGAGTAAGGTTTTGATAGCTCAAGCTAGTGATCTGTGATTGGCAGGAGCTGTCACATGGTACAGGGTGCTGTGATTGGCCCCATGTATCATGTGACAGCTGTGGGCCAATCACAGCTCACTAGGAAAAGGAGCAGAGCTGTTATGAATGAGATTGATTCATAAGAAACAGAAACAACACCTCCTGCGCTCAGGGATCCAGATCGACCACTCAGGAAGCTTGTCCACCAATGGATCAAAGGTTGTGCAGCTCATAACAAGGCTGGGGAGGCTCGACCAGTACTGCAGAGTGAAAACAAAAAGAGAGCACACCAACCTTGCGCATTACCTCAATAAGAAACTGTGATTTTAATAAA